CCAGGGTCACAAATGCGTCTTTCTGCACCCACGGAATTGGGCCAAGTTGTTTGAAAGCCACATCCTCAGCATATCGTAAAGTTAGGGAGTTCATTGATGCATCGATAACACGGAACGACCGCACGGGGTCTACACAGTGGTTGTCAGCCAGCAGGTGGCGGACGATTGATGAAGCTGACTGTTTGTATTGAACTTCATTTCACTTCCTTGGTTGCGCATTCGTGGCGGACGTGGCCATCTGCGAAACGTGTTTACTCACCCACGCCGTTATGTGCTCCGCGACCCTCACTCTCAAGCGTCGTGCTGTCATGCCCACGAATTCGGCCTTGCAAATCCATGTAAACTGGTGAAGGATGTGTGAATGGCTGAACAGCGACAGCGAGGGTTTAACCGATGGAGTAGGGCTACGACTCATTGTGTAGATGAGTACTGGTTCCGCCGTAGGTTATACGCGCGCCACTGCGGATTTCAATCGGCGTTGGAAAAAACCTGGCATACGTCGTTGCCTTTGAATGGCAATTGCAGGGTTACCTTCATGTTCGGTACCTTGGGCACACATTCTTTCTCTTTCTCAGCACTAAACTGAGCGATGAAAGACGGTGGGTACACATTGTCTACGCGTGTGCTGGTTATCAGCCGCACCTCGTTATGTACATCAAATGTCAAGTTCTGTTTTCAAGAACAAGACTATCGCCAAGTGGATGGTGTTGCAATGAGCGGTTCACTGGGACCGGTATTAGCAGACATTTTCTTCGCCCATCTCGAGAATCAAGTCAGGGACGAGTCGATGAAACAGTGTTGTTCCGTAGAGATGTGGACGACATTGTGTTAATCTGCGACAGCGAGTATCATTTAGCCCAACTGGTTACTAAGTTGAATGGTTTACAGCGAAACATTAGAATGACAACGGAGCGCGAACAGCATGATACACTGCCGTTCCTGCACATCCTGATAGAGCGTAGGAGTGACGGTTCAGTACGCAGATCAGTTTACGCAAGCCAACGTGGAAGGGACAGTACTTGAACCTCTACAGCTTTGTTCCCAAGCGGTACAAATAAGGTCTGATGAAGAGTTTGTTCAACAGAGGCAGAAAATTATGCACCGCTGACACGCTGGAACAGGAGGTGCGGCTGATAATCAGCACACGCGTAGACAATGGGTACCCACCGTCTTTCATCGCTCAGTTTAGTGCTGAGAAAGAGAAAGAATGTGTGCCCAAGGTACCGAACATGAAGGTAACCCTGCAATTGCCATTCAAAGGCAACGACGTATGCCAGGTTTTTTTCAACGCCGATTGAAATCCGCAGTGGCGCGCGTATACCCTGCAGCGGAACCAGTACTCATCTACACAAGGAGTCGTAGCCCTACTCCATCGGTTAAACCCCCGCTGTCGCTGTTCAGCCATTCACACATCCTTCACCAGTTTACATGGATTTGCAAGGCCGAATTCGTGGGCATGACAGCACGACGCTTGAGAGTGAGGGTCGCGGAGCACATAACGGCGTGGGTGAGTAAACACGTTTCGCAGATGGCCACGTCCGCCACGAATGCGCAACCAAGGAAGTGAAATGAAGTTCAATACAAACAGTCAGCTTCATCAATCGTCCGCCACCTGCTGGCTGACAACCACTGTGTAGACCCCGTGCGGTCGTTCCGTGTTATCGATGCATCAATGAACTCCCTAACTTTACGATATGCTGAGGATGTGGCTTTCAAACAACTTGGCCCAATTCCGTGGGTGCAGAAAGACGCATTTGTGACCCTGGCCATGCCGTGGTAGCAGGCCGGGAACAGATGACAAGAATGCAGGTGTGTACAGTTGGGTCAATTTGTCATTTTAACTGCGCTCCTTTCATGATGCTATAAATTCACACGTCTGTAGTACTCACATGAAAATATGCAGAGAAAAATTTCCGGAGTTAAATCGTGGGACACTCTTGTGTTAACTTTTCTGCTAAATGTCATATGTGACGAAATAATTAAATTACTGCATAATACTTTTGTTCGTCGCAATTAGCCGACAATTCAGATATGTCGACCAGCTGTCCGGAAAAGCACCAGACGGCCGTTTCGCCCTATTGGGGCTCATCGCGACGAACAAAAGTACTCACCAAAATCCTTCCATTCATAAGTAATACTGCATAATAATTATTAGACACCATTGACTAACCATAATTGCATGTTCAGCGAACAAACAACTTGCAGTACTAAACTTTATTATGCTCTCTACGAAAGCAAACCTGTAAAGCAACGCAGCTCGATGGCACCTCTATCGGCTCACCCGTCAATCGTGTTCCTTTTGAGTCAGGCAGTCGTTCGCCGGATCGAATTAAGCGAACACTAAGGTTGGGTTATGGGTCTGCCGGCCAGGTAAAAGTGCGACCTAATGTTTACAAGGTAACAGACAAAACACTCGATTGTTGTGGAGTGTTGGTGGAAACCTGCCATCCAGGACGGACTTGAAAGGGAAGTTGAAACAAATGAGATGCCACCGACTTCTGTTTATCTTTAATCAGGGATCACACACCAAAGGAAGGAGACGAATGAAATTGGAGCATAGCGCACGAAGTGCATTAGCCGAAAGCGCATCATATATACCATAAATTGTTGGAACTAAGCAATACCAACCGTCACCTTAACTTATATGGACACTTGCTTAAATAAAACGTTGCTCAAAATAGGCAGTTTCTTTTTCATAGAAAACGTGTAATTAAATATTAAATACATTTGCGTAAATTAAAACAAAATATTCAATAGTTAATTAGCTTTTTGAATTATAATCTTTTTCAAGGGGGAACTTGTTTACAGTGAACCCCTCTTTGGGGTAACAACCCCGAAAGGGTCTGGCGTGTTGGCCCAGCTAACATGAGGCCTAGCGAAACTGATCACTAATTGCATAGCAGAGAATAGCTGAGACTAAAGCACCTCACTTTAGCCTATCAAGTATGGCTTGTGCGTCCAAGCGCAACAGATGCAGTTATTTTGACAAACGCAGTTAAACAGTAAGAAGAGGAATGAACAAGAATTAAAACCGTTAAATGGAAGAGTCAAGAGTCCGAAGTGGGAACGGAATACATGAGACTGGTCGATGCCGTGGCCGCTCCAATGAACGCGAGGTGACCATTAAATGTGACAGCAAGAATTAGCCCATCAACGGAACATCAAAAGGTGCTGGTAAATGCAGTCAGTTAACAGCGAAAAAATGTCAAATTTATTGGAAAACGTTTTGGCAACTTTAGGGAATAAAAGCTGTCCATGAATGTAGTTGGAAAATATATTGATACAAAATAGTCGAATGTAATGAAGGGTAGTATACCAGCAATAAATTCCCCGCAAGCCATGTGTCACAGCACGTGAAAGTATAGATTCGGCGGACAGCAAGAACACATCTGGGTGGCAAGAAAAGGTCATTTTGAGCACACAAATAAGAGAGCGGAGCCAGCCATGTTCGTCTAAAAAGAGCAAAAGGAGTCACTGATAAATTTGCCGAAAGTTACAAATAGTTCTGTCAGATTTCTACCGGAAAAGTTGAATTTTTTCTACGAAGATCAAGAAGAAAATGTAAATAATATTTAACAGGCGTGTGTGAAAGCGTCCCCACTGATGAATGAAGTGTCTGAAATAATTAAATAGATGGGCTGATTTCACATAACATATATTACAAAACTGCACTTAGCGACTTTAAGCTTAGGCTACGAGTAGCGAGATTAGCAAAGCCAATGCACAGTGCCCAGATGGATGAACACGAGCAGTCTAGAATGATAGATTTATCAAGTGAATCACTGTTGACAGTACGAGATCGCAGCTTTCGACCTGATGGACACTGTTTTTGGATCGTTATCAAAGATCTTAAGACTTGACGCGACCCTTGATCATCAGTGCAACTAATAGGAGAGCCATAACCCAGTTAGTGAGAATGAGGTGGTAGAATAGCTTTTTGGAAATCTGAATAAAAAGGAAAGAGCGAATCTTAGTCGGAGTCGAGAAAAATAGGATAGCCAACATGTTGATCAAGGCAGAAGAAGGACTTGTTAAGAGTCATTTTGAGCAAGTAGACGCTGAATGCTGAACTAATAAAGGAGGAGAGTTCGGTTACTCGTGTAAAAGTGGTTCCTGAAAGGGGAGACCTACTGCATTCCCCGGTTAGGATGCGTTATCAAACAGTTGTACGTCACGATGAGCAGAGAATGGAGAGTGATAGGTAATACCTGAGATCAATCCGTATCGAGTGAGTACATGTTGGATAAGGAGGGGTGCGATGCAAGGCGAATTGTGAGACAAGGTAGACACAACGAACAAAAGTACTAGCAAACGAACCAACCCAAGAGCCGTGGGCACTTCAATAACATAGGACTATAGCGCTGACTGATTAGGGATTAAGAAGAGCACTGCGTATAAGACGAAGTATTAAGGCGATTTGGAATTGGCTATACAAGATCGGTTACGTTTAGAATATTTCAGTGTAAACAATGAGATGTATTGTTGGAGCGGACATACAACTCTTCTTTTAAACGTCCCTCTATGAACTTGTGGCTGTTTATTCACACAATCGAATTAGCTATGTTCCTCTAGGGACTGCACTGAAGAAATGGCTACGTTTGTTCCAGGTGGCCTTTAAATTTGGCTAGACAGAACACACTTTAGAACATGTTCAGTTCAAATCCAAGGATATGACATACGCCCGAGCGCTTCAGCTAGTAATAAAACTTTAACAGAATCAGCTGTAGGACGGTTTGAGTAAAATAAAGTTAAACCAATCAGCTTCAGCCAATTGGACGAAAATAATATACTAAATTCATTTTCCACGAATGTCCCTAGTCGTCGATATCACCTGCCAACGAAGGTAGTTGAGAGGGGATAAATTTAAATCCGGCTTTGTTTTTGCGCTTTTCATAATATCTGTGAGTCTGGTTGCACGAACACAAACGCAAGTCGACATTTCAGTTATCAAGTGCTTACCTGGAATTATTAACCAATTTTGAGTTATCGTTGTCTTTCAGGAACGAAATGGAAGAAGTCCGTTCAGTGATTGATAAGAAAACTAATCAAGAGTATGAGGGGCACATGTTCCCCTTGGACGATGCGTGGAGCAGAGTTAGCGGGGCACGACAATTCGAGTGTCTGTCACGCATGTGTCATGCGAATGTGGTGAGGCTTGTTGACGCCTTGGTCAGCGATAATGTCCTCATTCTCGTCACAGAAAGGTGAGTGCGGTGTTTTCACTAACTTACTTCAAATGCATCTAATATTGTTAGACGCCATTTAAAACCAGTGGATGAACTACATTGGTACAAACGTCACAGTTGCACCATCTCAACCAAGTTCGCTGCTTGAATATCATATTGGCAGACTGCAGGATAGCGCCGTGTCACGTAACGAAACGGTTTGAAGCGTTTCGCTTGCTTTCTTTTCATGGAAACCTCTGCTAGCCTAGCAGCTAATAAGCAACGAAGGTGTGTGTGTGTGTGTGTGTGTGTGTGAAACATTGGACTTCGCGCATAGTTTATGTTGCGGTCGAATCATATAAAGTAGTATACAACCCCAGCTACTCACGCCTCGTCCAGTCCAGTGCAATCGCAGTGGGCTGGCACCCTGACCTTTTGCGAACTTCTCCCCATTTTGGCGCGCGCTGCTGCTGTTGCACTTATTGGACTCGGATTCACTAGCTCTACTCAAGGATCCATAATCAAAGTTCAAGTTTCACTACGTAACCGTTTACTTGGCTGGTATATTGCTGGCCTAGGTTAATGAAAAAATCAAGCGAACAACCACCCAGTTTTAAGTACACATAACCATTCCCCTTAGTTAGAGAGCACGCTTTAAGGGCTTCCCATTCATCACTAGGTTATGACAATTTGGCAACGAACGGTGACTGCACTTTATTTTCGCAATCATCAGTCACAGCTTTATCGCGCCATTGCAAATCCGACATTCGCTTATGCGCAATGATTGTACCCCTACATACGTTCAAGTCAGCGTGACCAACGGTGACACCGCCTCATTCGGGGCCTCGCAGTCAGTGCATGGGTAAACCTTCGTCAAAAATATTGTTCCACGGACGGTTGGCGCAATAACTGTAAATATGAAGGCGAAACTGAACGGCCAATCGATGTATAGTAATGTCAGTTACTGGGTTAACAGCTGTACGGAACTTGTACGGTCGGAAAGGTGTGAGTTCGAAAATGGTGAAATTGTGGGTACACAGAAACAAAATTGAATTGGCGATCACTATGTTACACCTCGTTTGTTCAAGGAAAGCTCAGCCTAAAACATCACAACTGTACGTTTTATGCGAGGTGTCAAGCTGTGTTTGGTGGTGCAAAAATTGGTAACATGCTTTAACTGTTGAAAACAATTCCATCCAAAAGGTACCGACCTGTCGTAAAGCAAAATAAAGAGACACGCAGTACAATAGATGCAGTTTGATTTTGCACAATGTAAACGGTTATTGCATACGTTAGATCTTCATAGACGTTCAGGTGAGCCGTTTGGTAAGTCAACCAAACTGCAACTTTTCCACCATTTTCCCGTCACTTTAATCTTCGTTTTGTAATACTCGCTCTGATCATTCTACGGGACTCCTCAAGCACTAGACTTTTTGCCCGCTGTAAATCATCGCTGTTCATACTTGAAGCTAGATATTACGAACATTCATTTTAATCAAGGTCTATACTGCTTTCGATTGGTTGCCATTGTCACACCACCCTCTAAATACTCTATGGACGTGGTCCTGCGGACGAGTAGTTCATGATGACTGACACTGGTTTAGGATATCATCACAAATAGTTGAGTCTTAGGCAACATTGATGGTTTATGCCGTGAAGTAGAATTTTACACTCCAGTATAGTTATTCCGACGAAAATCCCAAGCGGAAGTACCATGTCTCATGTATTACAGAAACAGATGTGGCATCCATGATCTTTGTTGCTTGGTAATTGTGCTAAAGTTCGTTCTGATAAATCGCTCCGCATTTCGCGAAACTGTAAAATTGGAAACTAACTTCTGGATATGGCCTCACAACTCGGTCTGGTTGACATAAACCCGGATGTACGACTGTTCGTACGAGTTACTGTCCGGATCGCGTTTGGCTGATAATCGATCATCCCAGGATGTTGTCAGGACGCTTGCCACATTACGGCCTGGTAATTCACATTGTTCTCAGAGCCCCTCATGACACCTTTGAGCTAATTAACATTACTTTTGGACTGAGAATTTGGTGTTTGTTGTCAGGTGCACGTGGTAAAGCAAACATAAGTAATCGAGTCATACACGCGACAGTCCGATTAAATCACTAGCAGTGTGGCCTCCCTGCCTACGTTTATTCCATTAAAAATGTAGATTTCAGGCTGGTTCGCTTGAAGCAACCGGTGTATAGACGGATTTTTACATGTCAGCTTAAATTGGATCGCGGTCTGGTCGGAAATAAATCCAGACCCATTATTTCGTAACTGAAACAACTATGCGCTCTCCACCTTAAGGCAAGGACGAACACGAGACTGATAGTGACTTGGAATGTTGCGAGCGGGCAACGCCTAACACTGACAAACAGATTTTGCTCAGCTCGACTCCTAACCAGAAGGAAGGAAGAGATCTTCACCTATGTTGTCTCACAAGCCAATTGATTTCGGATCGGTAAGGCCTAAGAGACCTAGCCCTCAGATGTTGCACAACCGAGTTGAAACTGGCGACGAAATGCGTGACCTAACACAATTCCACCGAGGTCCAAAATACAGACGCTGGCCGATGACAGGAGTCAGTCTACTGACTCAGCCGTAGAGAAATCATGCTTTCTGCACTTTCGTATTTGTAGCTCTGTAGTATATTAAAATAGTACATCAACTATGGAGAAACGTAGATATTGGCAAAGCAAATGAGTTGCCACGCAGTGGTAGTGTCGTAAGGTCAAGCTGGCTTTGTGAGATAGATAAAGCAGTTGGTTACACATGACATCGGCTTCAAATGGGAGTGCTCAGCTCCTATCTGTGCAGTTTGCAACGCCGCATGGTGACAGTGTTGCTAAGTTGACTAAATTCGGCGCGTTTCGAGAAGGCACGCGAGGTCCGCAACAGTATTCTGTGAGCTGCTTCGTTTGACTTGTGTTACTTCGATCCAAGTCACATGGTCAGTTGTCGTGTCCATGTTCCCATGCACCGTTCCTCTACTTTAAAGAGCCAAGGAAGATGTAGCTTTGTATCGACCGGAGGATCTCTACGCGGATCATGCAACGCAACCCATTAATATGAGAAATTTTTCGAATGCTGTCACAAACTGCATTAGGAATATAAGTGGCTACACCTAAAACCTTTTCTTATCTAGCGTAAAATGCGTATCATGCAACCAGTAATTTTATCCTAGGTACAGACTACCATAAGAAAGAATGCGACTAAAAAGTTTTGATTAATCCACACAAAATGACTCGCTTGCTTTTCGATCTGCACAATGAGTTCATTTTAATCTTCCTTTCATCCAAAGATTTACCGGACCGAACGTGTTGGAAGCAATGCTGTATTGTAACAGCTGGTCCGAATCCGCTGCTCAAGTTGTGATCCGGCAACTAGTTGAGGCTGTGAAGCATGTTCATTCAGAAGGCGTGGTGCACCTCGATATCCAAGTGAGTGCGAATAAAGACAATAAGAAAATAGTAGCCGTCATCAGCATATTAACGATGCTATCAGGTGACTAGATTAACGCTATTCAAAGGCCATCTACTTGGCTCAAAAGGGTGTGAGCACTAGTTTTGGACCCGGTTCCTGACGAACTGGTGCAGATGAAAAGAGATGTGCAAATCACAAATTGAAGAAACAAAGTAACTTGCGTTTAGAGTTCAAGTTAACCGGCTCCCGAAATTTCGCTTGTTAGCGTTGTTTAACTGGTAAGTTACTTAGAAAGGCAATGTGAGGAAACAGTGAATTTGGACCTAAGACTTATTGGTGATGTTTAGCGACCGATGTGTGACTATAAGGCTGCATACCAGCAAGTGTCCTCAGAGGGTTTATCGTAAGCAAACTCACTCAGAGAGCCGATACACACCAGGAATAGTGCTGGAAAACGTTTTATCCCATTGGGATTCGTCGGCAACTCTCACTTCCCAGTATCGTGCTGAATTCGAGTCAGCGATACAGGCCATGGAGCTAATGGCCTCGGCGGCGAACTTCAATACCTTCTCGCTAGTTACGATTTAGACCCACCCATCCTCCATTGCTATGCAGGCTACTACCGTGCAGAGGTCACGGGTGGCCTTCAGATGCATGGCATCTATAACTAAACCATCAACTCTCTTATGGCATTGGAAGACAGCTCAGTGATTATGATTACCAGAGTGTAGTATACTTGTAAGCGTTCTGAGGTTAGTCATAACCCGATTCATGTCGAAGATAACGTGCTCACCCACATATAACCCCTTTGTACACAATGTGCACTTATGCAAACACGACAAAAGTTTAGTTCTAATTTCAGACACGTAGTTTCGTTTGCATACCTAGCAAGCAGTGATCAACATCTTTACTTCACTATGGGAAGAAACTTAGTATATAATTTTCAACCTAACCAATAATTTGTTGTATAAAAGTTTTTGCTTGTATGCGAAGGGAATAGCCTGCGCTTATTCCATATTAAAGCGAATTTCCTAGAGAAAGTTCTGAGCAGGTACATGGCACAAACACTAATTCCGTAAACTCGTAGACTATTGATGGGTTTAAGCCACGGAAGTTTCCACGCTTTGAACCATCCATGTTATGAATCTTCTAATTGATGCAGTAGCCTCAGCTATTTGTAATACATGATCTTTGTCCTAGACCATGCACTGCTTCGGGTTGTGGGTGATTGTGTCGCGCTCATCATGTTCTCTAATCTCTGGAACATCGTATACAAGCAGGGCCATGGCTACGGATTCATTCCGGCATTCTTCCAAGTCGTGCTAAGCCAGTTTATGCTCGCTCCACGGAATATCCGGGAAGATGCGGATGGAACATGATTTATTCCGGAGGCGATTTATCGATAACGGAACTGCCTCTGCTTCATCGGAGAAGTCTTGATTCACCGTAGTGCCTTGAGTTGGGTGAAGGGTGATGCGCGTCAAGTTGGTGGGCTTAACTAGGGCACCTAGGATGTCACTTATTAATTTCTATCGGTTCATGTCGTCAAGATGCTTTCCTTTTAAGGAATTTCATTTAGATTCTGGAACGTTAGTGCACAGTACCGATGGTACATTCCGTGATCTTTTAATGACCATTTGTGCTGCTCGGGTTTAGGTCGACTGCTCCGGTGGTCTGCATACAATCGGTGGAGGCTGTGCAAGTACAGTTACACATGCCTCTTTTATTTTTGGGTCCAGTTGTAGTAACTGGAGGCCAGGTGCATTTGGCAACAACCAGGATGCAAGTGACGCTAGTGTCCACGCCATTCTGAAATTTCGCAACAGTTTGGAGGGTGGAGAAGAACTTGGCAGTAATTATCCCAATCGGACTGTCAGTGGTTGCTTCAGGCGTATTGGAGCCACTGGGGTATTGACGATCAATTCCGCAGGTGACGCATTTTCAAGCGTTGTTCAGCATCCTTTTCCACTTTTGAAGCGGAGCCTATCGGGAGGACTGGGGGTTAATCCGTCACGCTGTTAATAATGTGTTGATTTTGCTGCTGTTCATTTGTTCAAACGTCGCCACCAATCGTTCGTGTTTCTGATATGGTTCACGTACAATTTTTCCAAGTGTGATGACCCAACATATAGCACATAACAACAAATAATGTGGCGTACAATTGTGTAGCTTTAACTAGTTTACTGTGAGATCGACACACTTTGAATGAAACCTTGTGAAGCAATTGGAACAGTGTATGCATGTTCTTAACTCATATGGCATGAAGCAAAGCTCAATATTACTTCCATTGCTGTAGCCTTATTAGATTGGTCTTTACAACCCATCGCGTTTCGTGCCAGCCGATCAATGTCTATCAGGTCAATGGCTACGCGCGCGTGGTTGCCTGTTTGTCATTTGCACGCGGAGTTGGTTTTATTTTCATAGTTAAGACGTCGGTAGCAGGATCCGGTGCGTCACTGGGCTCGCAGGGCAGATTTAGGCTGCTTGGTCGTTTTCCCGGAATTTGCCCTGGGATGTAAACAAAACGAGTGAGCGATAAGGAACACGAAACTTCCGACAGCTTCTTCACTTATAGGTCGGCAGCAAAGATTGACAAGTCATCGTATGAATGTTTGAGACCACAAATGTTGTTGTGTGACTCGGGACTCGTAAGTTTACGCGCGTGTCTTTCTGTGAGAAGGGTGCAAAAACTGCGATTTAGAGGCGCAAAGTGCTTCGCACAAGTTAGATCAGAAAGATAGTGCATTAAATAGCTCCAGTTAAGCTGCATCGTATGAAGGTAAGCACACGTATGTGTGATGAGAATTTCGTCGGTAAATACGGTCTGAGTACGAGGCAAAAGAGAATGCCACCTCACAGCAGTACATTTCACACATATTACATAAAATTGCTAGAACGCATAAGCATTCAGGGTCTGAAATCTGCGGCCCAGGTTCTGAGTTCTATGTCATGAAAATTTCACGTAAAGTCTCAGCCTGAAGAACTTTTGAAACACTTTTCCTCGACTCAGGCACCGAACTTCATTGTGGTACAGCAAGTCAACGTATTCAGGCACAAATTCTTGGAGATCTTTGTATGTCCTATGATTAGAGGCATTGGATGGTATGAAATTTACTGTGTTTACTGCTGTCGTCATGACACCTTCCAAGCTCAGCACCTTACCACACAATTCCTATTGGTGAATTATGCATCTCTGTTCAATGAACTTTGAAACACCATTGAATTCCTCAACTTTAGAACGCAGTTATGCCACTAGACCGATATGCCTTCCAACCATATTTAGCTCTGTCCCTGGTCACTCCACAGAAATCTATCCACGACAAATTAAGCTCAACAATAGTTGTACTGACTGCACCAAAGAGAACATTTGCTGTCATTGTACCATGCAAGCTATTCAATGATGCAAGTTCTCTGGTAACTTCGGAAGTATCTCTAATTCCCCTAATGTAAATTAGTAACGGTTAAGTGCTGGTTACATCTATTGACTCATTCAATGCTACGGAAAATGGTTGAAAGCGCATTGCTTTCTCCTATAGCTGTGCCAACAAATCCTGTCCAATATTCTTTACACGTCTCGTAATGGTACAACATAAGAGGTTAACAGCTTCAAAAGCCCACTTTTTTGAATAAATCTCATCGGTAGCAGCCAGTAAACACTTCTTCACTAACTCTCCATCTAAGAAAGGTGTACATGCCTTGTTAAGAATATTTGCAACACGATAGCTCAGTTTTATGGCGGCCACGTTTTATTCTAATCGCTTGCTAAAAATTTTAACAGAGCAAGAGCAATGAACATTTTTGCGGAATAACCTGAATTCAGTATATTTCGTGTATTCTCTTCAGTCACTTACTACAGCGGGTGGAAATTTCAAACGGTTGAGAGTAATAGGTCAATACCAGAAATCGATAGTTAGTTGAGTTGTTTAGCCAGTCTTATCTCACCAAGGTAAATCAAGATTTGCCACAAACTCAAGTTACTTGCATAGGTTAGTCTTCCAACGCCGGATGGCGGAAACCTCAGCAAAACGCAACAACTTGGAGTTGCTCTGTTTGTTGAGGACCTTGAGTGCTTCGCGTGGACTCTGGCACATCGAGCAGTCGAATAAGTGCCAGGCAACGGAGCTGGCAGGTAATGTTGCGCCACGGAGAGCAAGGTTCCGCGGGAAGTGTTCTGAAATCCGAGTGGACAACCTCCTCTCTGTCTGGCCAATGGACATGATATCGCAAGTACAGTTAAACTGGTAAACATATGAGGCGGTGACAGTTGAGTGAGGCTTGTCCGAATTGGATCAGTGTAGTAGTTTTTTGGTTTTGTGGAGCAACACACCGTTAGCTGTATAGTAAGCTCTCCTTATGGCGTGACGTAAGCGATAGCAGCAACGACTGTCCTTTGCTTCCCCTTTTTAAAGCAGTGCAATGAATATCTTTTTCCTCGGAGCTTCAGTTCGCTCTTCTTGTGGCCTGGCTTTCTCCCCATACCTTACAATGAACTTGTCAGGGTACCCATTTTCACGTGGGGTGGATGCGATACCCTGTCTCAATCGTTTCCTCTGAACATATACGGTGGGCTCTCACAAAAGATGCTTGAACCAGGGAGCGCTTGTAGCTCATGGGGCAGTGGCTGTCGAAGTTGATGATTAAATGATCTCAGAAGTGATCCGTGTGATCTTCTTTCCAAACCTACATCTAAGAAGCGGAACTTTCCTGAAGTTTCGCTTTCCATGGTGAACTAGATCTATGGGTGACATTCATTAAACGTTTTGAGTCTGCGTTCCGCTTGCTGGGCTTCGTCAACTATCACAAAGGTATCATCAGTATATCGGGCGTATAAGTGACCCTCCTGCATAGAGTGACACAATTTGGTGTTCTCTAGATGAGCAACGAAGATGTCAGTCAAAATAGCGCCAAGTGGACTGCCCATCGCTGCACCCACAATCTGCTGATATGGACTTCCGCTGAAAAAATGGAACACCTTTTGTACAGATACGAATTAAGTTCTTTAATCGATGTGGTGGAA